TATATATATATATATATATATATGTTGTGTGTGTACATACACACATTCATCTATTCAAAATCAAAAAATCATTAGTCCCAATATTAATTAATGTTCATTTTAAAATAGAAATAATATTTATTTATTTTATACATAATGAAAAATTCTAGAGGTATCATATATTGATATAGTAGCACCGACACCATTGATATCACTTATGTTAGTCACTTAACTTTTCATACAATTCATTTAACAATTAATGAAAATAAACAATTATTTTGAGTTCATGAAAATAAGTAAATTTTAGTTTTAGTTATTGTAAAAACAATCTATTTTCACCCATTCTAAATATAAAATCATTAATTTTAGTTTCAATATTCACTTTAAAATAGATAAATAATATTTATTTTAATTTTTTACATATATTTTAAAGTGTCACATATTAATATAATATCACATATACAAGTAAATGTCATTTAACATTATCACTTGATCTTTTGTTAAAACATAAATAATTAACAAGTGTTATAGTTCAAAAATAATGATTTTCCATTCGAGGGATAAAAATTAAAGATTCAGGAAAAATAAAAAATCAAAACCGTGAATTTTCCATGTACTAAAAACACATAAGTTTTATATATATATAAAAGAGAAGTTAGGTTATCTATTCACCCATTTTCTTAACTATAATCTCGCCCTACTAATTTGAATATATAAGAAAAGCATCTTTTGTTACCTATTCTTCGTGGTGCCGTAATAGTTACCAATAACGAATCCAAGATTTTAGATTATTGCGAAAAATTTTCTTGAAAAATATAAATTAATAATTATTATTATATAATATAAAATAAAATATAAATATATTGAATTCAATATATAAAATTTGGATACAAAATATAATATTTTTAAATATATATTAATAATTTAATTAAAGGATTGTCTCCGACTAATATTTGATGTAGTTGAGAATGTATGGGATGACTCTTGCTTATAAATTCTAGGTATACATTGTTATATCTATTTGTGGTATACTTTTATCATTAATTATATCTCCAGAATTGATTTCGGAAAATATAAAGATGCCAACAAAGCAATATTTGAATGGAGTGTGTAAAATAATAGTACCATATTGTTTAAGAACAAATAAATTCTCGATGTCACGTGACATTAAAGTCCTACTATTTTGTTACAATGCATTTAAACCCCAACAAAACAATGATGTGAACGTGGCTCACAATATCTCGTATACGAAGTAAATTAGTATGATCGATGATTGATGATCGACCTAACAAGGAGAGTTAAAATAATACGTAGAGAGTCTTAAATTGATACTTATTATATATGATGGTTACTGATATCTCATATAAAGTGAAGTGTACATTACTGATAAGCAGCAATGTGTGTGTACTAAACAAAGGTAGCCTGCGATCGATCCAAAAGCCTGCATGCAGACGCAGTGACTAGTCGCAACTCACTGCTTCCCATATCCTATTCACTCTTTCTTTAGACTTGTACATGGTCCCATGACAAATCTTCATATCTTATACTTGGATTCCTTCCCAATGCGTAGCTCAATCAACACACTTTAATACTAGGGGCTTCAACCATTTCAGTGTATTTTTTTGGTCATCATAACATACCAATGAAATCAGTATGATCCATTGAATAAACCATGAACCCCTCTGTATAGTGTATAGGGTGAGATGGATTCATATTTCTCACCGACTCTTCCATACGAGTGTTCAAAACCCCATCCCGTTTCACTAACCTCATTCATTTTCAACCAACTTCTGACGGCTTTCCAATTTAAGATAGTTTTAAGAACGAATTTAAGTTATATTTCTGATCTAATGTTATAGATTTTTAAAGAGTGTAATTTGTAAATAATTATGTACTAATCATATAACTTTTTAACTTAATACATAATTTTTTTGTTGAATATATTATTTTGTTTAACATGATATTACATTGGGTAAAATATATTTTTGACCTCTTAAGAATTTTTCAAGTTTGAATTTAATCTCTCTATTTTTTTTTGGGGTCTTATTTTAGTCACTTTAAAATATGAAAAAAAAGGCTTATTAGGTTTTAAAAAATGATTCCATCAAAATTTTGAGTTGCATAAGGACATGTAAACTTGTTATATTTCAGACTATGAACACTTCTATTCTTTGAGTTCAATTTAATGGAACTTATTTTTGAGCATGTTGGGCCGAGTAAATCTAAATAGTTGAATTTTCTTATATATATTTTTTGTAACTGTTGAGTGCATTTTTAGGCTTGTTTTGCACTCAACTTTTGGCACTCTTTTTGGGTAATTAGAGATAATATGTATGTTATTTCACTCTTTTTATTTAAATAATTAAGTTATATTATAAGAGTAGAGGAGTAGTAGCAATTTTAAGGAATTTCCTCATATTTTTGCAGAATTTTTGGGCTAGGCAGAAATCCACAGCTATAGCTGTGGATCTGGAGCTCGAGCTGTGAAAATTTGGGGAGAAATTGTGAAGTTCCAGAGACTTGAAGCTATAGCTGTAGATCTGGAGCTCGAGCTGTGAATCTGGAGCTCGAGCTGTGAATCTGGGGCTCGAGCTGTGGAAATCTGGAAAGCTGAAGCTCGAGCTGTGAATCTGGAGCTCGAGCTGTGGAAGTCTGAAAAGGGTCCAGAAAGTTGGAGCTATAGCTGTGAATCTACAGCTGTAGCTGTGGAGATAAAAATCACTTTTCTGCCCCTATTTTAAAGCTGATATAAACAAAGGAAAAGAGAGAAACAGTGGGGTACAAAATTAAGGAAAGAAACAAGAAGCACATGAGCACTCAATTAAAAAGAGAGACAAGGAGCCTTAAATTAAGGAGAAACAAACAAGGAAAAAGGGGAAAATCATTAGTGGAAAAACCACTAATTGAACCAATAATGCAAAAACAGCTGTATATACATTGATTGGAGACTACAGCTCAAAAAAACTAACTGATTGGGGGCTGCAGCTAGGGAGTCACGTAGGAGGAGTCCTGAACCTCTGTTTTTGATCTGCAACTTTGTACTCTCTTATGGAATTTGCTGCAGAATTTGTAATGGCCATGAGTGGCTAATTTCATTGAGGATTGGTTGGATGTAACTACTAACTCTTCTCCTTCTTAAATATATGCATTTTAATCTCATTATTTGTGTATGATTCTTTACTTAATGCTTATATCGGCTTGATCACCCGTTGTATGAATTTTTGGTTTTTGAATCCAGTTGGAAAACGTTTTTGAAAACCCGAACTGAATCTTGCACCTAATCAATTCTTGTTCTAGGGATAGACTTGATTTGGTTAGTCACATTGTTCAAGTTCTTGTTCTTAATGCGAAGTGTTGAACTCAAAACATAGAGGAATCATGTTTTGAGCTTAATGACTTTAGGATTCAACCTTGAGGAATCTTGTTGGATTACTTAATGAACGTGGAAATAATGGAATTAGAATAGCATTTATTTTAAGAAGATCTATGAGTTAGCAAGTGCTTCCGAACCAATCCTTGTTTCTTAATCATCATCCTTACTACGTTTGTTTTACTGTATTGTTTTAATTTATCATCATTCATCCGCAAATTGAACATCATTTTCTTATAAATCATTAGAGTAAGAATTACTAATCACTCAAATCCCTGAGGACGATCTTTAAATACTACTTCGAAACTTGGTTCACTTGCCAAGTGATAGGTTTGCGAAAAACCTCATCAGTAACTTAGTAAGACTCATTTGTGAGTGACTATAGATTTATTAGTGTTGATGAATTAAAATATTTTTTGTGCGTATATCCTTGGGTCGAAAGCCAATGAATAATGTCTCAAGATATTATGATCCATTTAAGAGTTTGTATTTCTTCAACAATTTTTTTAATATGCAATGATTCAATGATTTTACTCGTAATTACTTACTGAAGTATTATCCTTTTTATATATAAAAGAGGCTAAAGTCAAAACTAAAAATTTCTAAAGAAAGAAGTTGCTAACAAATCAACAAATAAAGCTAATTAAATCCATTGAGGAGGATCCTGAAAAAATATAGATATCTTCAGCTAACAAAACATCCATGCTAATTAGCCAAACTATTAGCAACCTAATTGGTTTCACGAAATATGTGTGTACAAGTCACTTCATTATCATCACCAACAATATTAACCACTTTTGTTCACCAAGGAGGAATTTAAATGTTACCTAATGCAACCATAAAATATTAACCAAGGACTTGAATTTGATAAACCAGCTGAGATATGTTTCCCTCCTCATTCTTGAAAACTACTTTATTTCTCCAAAGTTAAATGATATCCATGATGACAACACAATTAAAACTTAAAATTTTATACATGTTATTCGAACTATTCACATACTATTAGACCGATCATAATTGAATAGTTAATGATTATTATGAATATGTTTATATAATTTTTTATTTATTTAAGAAATCATTTGATAATTAATCTTTTTTTATTTTTTTATTTTATTAAAAATTATGGCAGATCAACTCAATCCACGACTTACTTAAAGTTGATTTGGGATAAAGTTTCTAACTCGGTATTAAAGTAAATTCAATTTAATTAATCCTTTTTTTTTTCTTCCAATTATGAGCTAGTTGACTTAGTTAAGTTGACCTGCTTTAATTCACATCCTAAAAGTTATATATATTTTGTTGTTCCTAATATTTAAATATCGCATTGGATACCTGACCTGACTTCTCCCATTTAAAGAAATTTGACCAACAGTTAAATTGTAATTAAGATCTCTCTACTAACTGTTTTATACACTCATTCAATATAATTCCAACGACGTTGCAAGAATACTCTCAACGATATATATTTTCTAAGAAGAAAGTTGAGTGAAGGAAAGTAATCAATTCAGAAAAAAAAAAAACTTAATTTTAATGAAAACTTCGTTATTATAAATTTTCTATCAATTTATTCTTCTCAAAATTCAAATAAAAAAAGCCAAAATCAATGTAGGATAATTGGATATATTTGCATATAGAACTAAAAAAAAAAAAAAAAAAAAGGTTTGTGAGAATGATAAATAGCAATTATGCAGCATGAGGATTCGCAGATAGAGAATAAGGATTATGAGTATCACGTGGTGGAGGGTATGTGAAGGTTTTATTGAGTCTCATTATTGTTGAGGAAGGCATCTATCTAAACCTGGAGCCCTCTAAATTAATGGCGAGCGTCTTCTGCCAAGGCCCACCAGCACCACTCATCATTAGCCTTCTGCCAACAAACTACACTACAACATGACTATTAGTGTTAGACAACCTTAGATTTTTCTTTTCTTTTACCCTTTTAAATAAACCCTACACCTTAGGACTTAGGTTTTCATTTTCAAATTTCAAGTCTTTTGTTTTGTTCCCCGCTGTCGCTCCATCGCCTGTGCCCCTGTGGGCTACACCCTACATCACCAACTTTCCAATTTCAACTAAATATAAATATATCACTCAAAAATAAATAAACTAACAAAGATAGGCTTAATCAATAATGAGAATGATTAATTTTTCAGAAAACAATGAATTATGATTTTTTTAAGTAAATTCAGAATATCTCTTAGTGGATAAACTAAAGTTTTATTTATTTATTTTTAGATGTGAAGATTTATTTGAGAGGTTAATTATTTAAATAATGCCATCAAACATAATACTAGTTCAAGAAGTTGTGAGCTTTATTCCATGTCCCTTTCTCTCTTTATATATACATAAAGAAAAGATAAATTCACTTATTTTAAAACTAAGTTTATCTATACTTATTCTATTAAATAACTCATGTTTTACATAAAATTTTAATGATTCAATCATTGAATTAAAATATTTTAATGTATAAAATAAATCTACAAAATTTTTTAAAAAATATAAAAAATTATTTGATATTGTGTTTCATTGATTTAAATTGACAGATAATAATAATTATATATATATATATATTGATTTGAATTAATGAAATAAAGTTTTAAATAATTTTCTAAATTTTTTAATTTTGCAAACTCGATCTATGTATTAAGAATTTTTAATTCAATAGTTAGATCACTGAAATTTGATGTGAAACATAAGTTATTGAATAAAGTAAGTGTAATAGACTTTATTGGAATAAGTGAATCCCTCCTCATATATATATATATATATATATATATATATATATATATATATGTGTGTGTGTGTGTGTGTGTGTGTGTGTGTGTATGTGTGTGTGTATAATAGATTAGTGAGGTAAGAGTCTAAAGTCTCAAGTAAATTATCTAGATTTCATATCACTAGGTCGATCATAATGAATTTGTATGAAATTTGATGTGCTTGAAGTAGAAGTGTTGACTTTGTTTGAGCTCCAAAATATACTAACTGAGATGAAATCCAAGTGGACTGATGTTCAAGTAGTTATTTTACTAATGAGAAAATATGTAATAAATATTTAACTATAATAATGATGTTGATTATATTTATTTTGGTATAGAACAACTACTAGGGTTAACATAATGATTGAGAGGTTAGAAAGGAATATTGAGATATAAATCAAGTCTCGCATAGTTAAAGAAAAAGGAAAAATACGAGTTTATAAAATACACACATACTTCATTAATTATGAGACTTTTTTGGGTGATGACCAAAAACAAAAACCATGAAAAACTTATAATGTGTTTGGATGGGGAATTTAAATGGAGTAATTCATTTATTTGAAGAATTTCAAATTCTTTGAGGTGAAATACCTTGTTTGGATGGAGAATTTATAAAGAATTTGAAATTCAAGCATTTGTGAAATTCCTTGAAATAGTAGAATTTCAAATTCTCCCAAAAAAGTAAGAATTTGAAATTCCTCATATTTTTTTTCTTCATATTTCACTTATATATTTTATCTTATCTCATATCTCTTCATATTTTTAATTACTGAATATTTAAAAATATTTTTAAAATTATTAAATATTATCTAATATTAAATTTTAAAATTATTAAATATTTTAAAATTAGTTAATATTTAATTTTATAAAATTTAATTTAAGAATCTCAACATATAAATATATTTTTAAAATCAAATTTATCATGGTAGAATCAAATTATCATATTTAACCCATAAATTTAAAAATTGAGAAATTTGAATTGACTTATCCAAACAAAATATTTTAAGAATGATGAAAATTGAAATCAAAGTAATTCAAATACCAAGAATTTAAAATTCCTTGAATTTGTAAAATTCTTCATCCAAATTATTGGCTAAAGTGAACAATATCTAACTATTGTGAAGTTGTGTGTCCAAATACCCCTAATAAAAATAACAAAGGTATAACTACCTCCTCTTAGTGTATAAGGTTGGATTTAGTGACAACCAATAATCCCATAATCCATAACATGCAAACAATAAAAAGAATGCAATACAAAAACAAATCTTGCTAAATGGGAGATTAAAGTCCTTTGTTTGAGGTAGAAAATTATTGGGATATAGATTAAGTAACACATCATTAGAATATGAGAAAAAAAATAATTTATAAAACACACACATACTTTATTGGTTGAAAGTTTTTTAAATAATGACCAAAAATAAAATCATAAAAACTTAAACATAAATTGGACAATATCTAATCATTGTGAAGTTGTATGTGCATATATTCAAATAAAAATAACAAAAATATATGTTTGTGAGAACTTATATATTTAATTATCATCGTAGTTTTTTTAATATTTCTATTGTATAAAAAATGTTTATAAAAGCTTATTATTAATTTTTTTATATGTAGTGTTTTTTTTTCCTATCTCCCTTTTAATATTATGATTGTCACCATTGATCTGAAGGATTTTCATATAAATAAGAATCGAACATGAAATTTTGTATTAAATAAATTGCCTTAGTATTCAAATAAGAGAGTTTTTTCCATATTAAAAGAAAATACTTTTTTTTATTATTTATTTAAATAATACATCCTTTCGATTGCATATTTTATTACTATTTTTTTCCTTCATTTGATTATTTATTTTCTTCATGATGGTTAAACAAAGGATTACTGTAGTGTTGAAAACTAAAAAAGGAAGATAATCCTTAGAAAGGAAAGACATGCCATGAAATGTGAAACACAATGCCACATGCCTTGTCTTGAGCATCCATTCTTTGTACTTCTCTTTCCTGACTACAAAAGCTGAAAGCAACCAACAGCCTGTCCTTATTATATCTCCTTTCTTTCCTTTCTTTCTCAAGCTTTACATACCCGGAAGAGGCCCTATTTTTGGAAAAAAAAAATCGCATTTTTAAATTCTTAAAATATTTAGTTCAACTTGATAAACAGGGTACATTATCCTCACCCTTTTTGAGTTTCATTGCTCTTGTTCTCTCCCCCTCTCTCTCTGTCCCTGTCCTCAGTCCTCCCCTAGTATCAACTTCAACTATCAATACACTATCCACACTCTTGTATGCACAAATCCACAGTTTCATCTTCTTAAGTGGCTAACAAGGTATGCTTTATGTGGTGTTCCTTCTTTCATATTACACACAACCCTCTCTCTTTCTGCCCCCTTTTTTTTTTCAACTTAAAAAATATAAATAAAGGAAGAAAAAAAGCTTGCTTTCTTAATTTGGCTGTCCAGTGGCGGTTTTGGTGGTGAAGTGAAGAAGTAAGCATACTTCACCTATGGTTGTCTACAAACACTTACTTTCCTCTTTTTAATGTGTTTTTAGTTTTTGTTTTCCTATTTGCTTCATTACATGCTGTTAGTAAGTTTGTGAATTGTAACTCCGATTTCCTTGGAACTCTTTCTACTTGGCAGCTGTGTGCTAGTCATTATTACGTATTTTCAACACTCTCTGGTGCAGGTTTCTTCTCTCTCTCCTTTTTGCTAAATACGGACAAACAAATGTCTAATATAGTTCTATACAAGGAGCCTATTTTATGTTTGTCCCTTTTATTTTATTTTTTTAAAATAAAATCCTGCTCTATCAGTTGTCACTCAAAAAATCTTGTTGAATAGAATTTCGGTTGTTGCACATTAATCAGTTATAGATGCACTTTCATAAAGTTTGGTTTACCTTCTTTCATAAAATCTATCTGTTTGGTCCAATGTTTAATTTTCTCTTACTTATCAATCTCCTTGTAATTGAGAAGCATCTTCTCGTGGTACACACAGTAAGGTGAGCAAAGTGGAAGTGTTTTTGCTATGGACTGGAATTTGAAAGCACCTTCTTGGGATTTGAGTGAAGTGGATCAGGCAAACTTGACCAACATGGAAACTATGGAAGGGTCAAACAAATATGGAATGTATGGAACAAAGGGGGAATTTTCTGTTGATTTGAAGCTTGGCCAGGTTGGGAATTCTGGCATGGAATCAGTGATGAGCAAGTCCAAAGATGGTGTTGGAGTGTCCAAAATGGCATCCTCATCCTCAGGGTCATCTAAGAGGGCTCGTGCCCTTAGCAATGGGACACAAACAGTGTCATGCCTTGTGGATGGTTGCCATTCTGATCTCAGTAATTGTAGGGACTATCATAGGCGCCATAAGGTCTGTGAAGTCCACTCCAAGACTGCACAGGTCACAATTGGAGGCCAGAAACAAAGGTTCTGCCAACAGTGTAGCAGGTGCATCTTTCGTATTTCATATTTCACATTTGTATGTGTGTGTGTCTTGCGTTGCGATGAAATTGCTTGTTAGGGAGGTAGAAGCACAATCCTAACAAAAAAGGAATCTCAACTGATGATACCTATAGATACTAGAAAATGCTGCCTGATTAATTAAGATAATTCCCTATTAAGATACCTGATCATCTTCTGGGATCTGGATACCCTACAGTTACCAAATACATGCATTAATAGTTGGATAAAGATTGGATGGTTCATATGTTATCTTGATAAATTTCACTTAAAATGCACATTAAAATACGAATCGTTTGATCTTCATCCAACAGTCCAGATTCATGAATGTGTGAATGCATGATATCTATATCTATGGAGAAAAATCTGTTATATCTTTAGGGACTTGGACATAGCACAAATAAGTTCTTGAAAACAGTGCAATCACATGTCTGAAACTAATAATATTTGTGATTTACAAGTTTGAAAATCAAAGATGGATCGTAGCTTATGATTTACCGTGAAGATGGGCAAAATGTACAACATAAATCACTTGTTAATGGTTAATTTAATTTACAGCAAGTATGATGCTAATTTAGGAGACCACACTCTTTTATGTCCTTGATGTTGTATAGCTTGAATTGTACTTGATGGGATGACACATTGATAAACCCCCATACCGGTAGATTCTGCGATATGGAGAAATAAATAAGTGTCCTAATGGCTGTATTATTGAGTGTTGATGATTCCTGATTAGCTATTTTTTCCACTTTTGAAGCTTCATGTGCATGGTACGTGTTGATGGCATGTTGACATGACATGTTACCTGACTCACTAGTGAAGTTGTGTGTTGTGTAGGTTCCATTCACTAGAGGAATTTGATGAGGGGAAAAGGAGCTGCAGGAAGCGGTTAGATGGGCACAACCGACGGAGAAGAAAGCCCCAACCAGAACCTCTAACGCGCTCTGCTAGTTTTTTGTCCACTTACCAAGGTTAGCTTCAACTTCCACTTCTAGCTTATCTGAGTGGACCCCTGTGTGCCTAGATTTGGAGCAGACATTTCCTCAGTATCCCCACATAGCTGCACAAATCTTCAAAGCTAACATATACACACAATTGCACATTGCACTTACCAAATGCCAATCCAGTGGCCACTAGCATAACGTGTCAGTACTCACAACACACACAAAAGCCTTTTGCTTTTGAGAGAGGACATCCTAGAACTGTTGTGTGTAAGTAGTCTTATGTATTTTGCCTAAATATCTTATCCTGTGTCACACCTCAACTCTCTCACACGGTTTGGACATTTCTTCACAAACAAACACACACATAAGCTCAATTATTGGTTAGGCACGCCCACCTATACCCCACAATGAGAAAATAGTTGATATATGGTAAGTTTGTTAAAATTACAAGTGATATTTACCGTGATTTGTGACTAATACTTTTTATCAGGCACCCAGTTGCTACCTTTTTCAAGTTCACATGTGTACCCTTCCACTACTGTGGTGAATCCTACTTGGGGTGGAGTTGTTGGTGGTTCTGGTGATGTTAGGCTTCATGGGCACAACCAACACCAACAATTGCATTTGGTTGATAAACAGGACCTTTTTCTTGGGTCTTCTTCTCCAACCGGTTATAAAGAAGGGAAGCAAGTCGCGTTCATGCAAGGTGACCATACGCATGCCATGAACAGCCAAAGCCCACATCTGGGAGCTGGTTCGGCGGGCCAGGCCCAGATGTTTCTTAGGACGAGCCCGTACTCGGAAAGCGGTGGGCTGAGATGCAAAATGTTCAGTGATAGCCTTACAAGTTCGGTCCACGACTCCTCTCGTGCTCTCTCTCTTCTGTCATCACCTCAGCCGCACAGTCCTGGAAATGGGTTAAACCAAATGGTGAACCCCCACTCGCCGCTTATGCAGCCATTGGGCCTCAGCCTGCACGATAACAGCTTGGACCCCGTTTTGGGCCCCACTGGGAGTGACCACTCTTCCTCCATGTATAACTTAGCTTCTAATGGATCCCAGGGGAATGATGCCCCTGCACTATTTCCCTTCCAATGGGAATAGACACTACATACACTCTTTTATTATATGCTTCCCTCGTACTATTTAACTTATCAATTTATCTTTCATCCACCCATTTTCAAAAATGCTCTCCATTTTTTCATGTCATTCTCGTTCATTGTTACTTCATATTTTAGGAAGTATGTTTCCGTATAACGCAGGTGCATGGTGCTTCCTAGGCATGACGCAGACAATGAGCCCATTGTTTTATCTTTGGGCTGTTTAGGTGTCAGTCGGCCTTGGCCCAAAACAAATGGATTCAATATTTGAAATTTATAGGACGTAAAAAATATTTTTTTTACTCTAATAAATTAAGTTCAGGTTAGTGAATTCAAAGTTATAGGGATAATAAACAAATATTAAAAACTATTATACCTATTGTAATTTCATGATCGTAGCTAAGGCAATGTCAATAAGATCTTTGTCTTAGGTTTTCAACCAATTTTTTTTAATATATATATATATATATATATATAATTTTATTAATTTTGTACAAATAAGGAACTTAAAACGTTTAAGTGTAGTAGAAGTGTAAAAAATATTGATAATTTGAATTTTTTGTATTACAAATTTATATATTTAATTATATTATTAATAATTAATTTTTTTAATACATTAGATTATAAAATTATTTAAAAAATGTGTCTATATATAAATATTATTGTAAAATTATTAGTTTGAAAATTTTATCATAATTAAAAACTTATATTATATTTTTTTGAATTGAAGAAAAAATGTTATTGAAATAAATATAAAGGTTAAATTTCATAAAAATATGATAACCTATATATAATAAATAAATAGAATGATAGTAAATATAACAAAAATGATAATGATAACAACATTTGGTTAAAGAGTAATTCTTCTAATTTTTATAAAAAAAATATTTGTCTAGTTTTGATCATTTTTTATAAGTGTCAAATCATTTTATCTTATTTTATTTTATTCACAACTTATTTTAAAATATAAAATTACTTTGAATTTTTTATTTGAATTTCAATAAATAAGATTTTGAAGAAAAAAATTGCATCATTAGAGATTATGGATTTTTTCTTCTTCTCTAAATTGAAATTAATAAAAAAAATATTAACAAACAAATTAGTGTTTCATTATAAATATTAAACTATATTAAAAAATATTTTTTAAATTCGTGAAATATGTTAATTTATAAAATATTATAAATAATATTTGTAATTATTTTTATAATTACTTATCAAAATTAATTTTTTTTAGATTAATTTGAGACTATGTTACAAAATAGTTATTGAATGAATGATCATTAAGTGAGATGTTGAAAATTTTAAACTATTAGATTTAATTAATAATTTGTTGCAAAAAATAAAAAAAATAAAAAACTATCAATTATTTGAGGATAAAACTTAAATAAATGTTTTATCTTAGACATAAAATTTGTTAAATACAGCACTGTGTAATTTTTCCTAAAACGGGAGGGGAAACATTTATCCGCCCTTACATACTGTAGTTACATATGAATATGTTTGGCAGTGGGCACTGTCAGCTAACATCTTAGCATTTTACATGGCAAATAATAAGAATAACCATTCAGCATTTAACTGTTTAGGTACACGCATGTTGAGTAAAGTTTAATTTTAAAAAATAAATCATTTTTCGGAAGCTATCTTAATAATATTTTAGTTCTATATGATTTAAGATAAAAATGAGTTAAATTAAACATACACAAAGGGATAACAAAAATGCCTTAATCTTTGATTAGAAGGAATTGATATTGGCACGGCTCAATCATCCAAAGGACCCAGTCATTAGGAGATTTGATTTGATTGAGCCGTCCCAACATCCGTTCCTATTCCCCCAACAAAAGAAATTACTATAAACATTAGCAATTTCTACCTTTGTGAGTGAAGAACAACATAGGCTTGAGTTCGAGCCAAGTCTTGCTCCAGCAACGAACCAAATAACTGAAATAAGGGTCTTATTGGGGCCTCTGGCGTTATGGAAGAAAGCAAGTCTTGAAGTGGCTTGCTTTATAAGAGAAGAAAACGGGTGATATATAGGGAAAATTTTGAATTAAATTAGGATAGTTGAGGGGTCAATATCTATCAATTATTATATAAATTTCCCATTACATCTATACCTACATTATGGTTGATGATTATATGAGACCACAAAGGGGAGGTTTCCTTCTTCACCGGTTTTCTAATCAAATATGTTTTAAATAATGCTTCCAACATTGTGCCAACTAATTGTCATTATTCAAACCCATCTCTTCTTCCACCCTCCTATCTCCTACAACAACAGGGAATAATAATTAGGCTAATTATTTGAGAATCCATTAAGTTTTAATACATAGTTTTGTTTAGTTCATGCAGGTTGGTTTATGAGAAATTGAACGTATAATCTTATTCTTATCTTGCCTTCCTTTTACAATTCAAGTGGCCATTTTTAACATTAATATATCATTTATACAACTATAGTCCATGTCCTAATCCCCTCACTAATTAGGAATTTTCCAGCTCACTTAATATATGAAAGTGGAGTTGTAGCATATTATATCCTAAAATGGTCCACTGCAGCAATTGAAATATTTTTAAATCCTTTTTTCCAAAGCATCCCTCACTAGAAACTTATCTCATTCAAGCGCAAAATACGAGGGTTCCTCCAAACAAATTTTTTTTCCCAAGATGTGAAATAATATCCAACTACGTCAACAACAAAAGGAAACAGAAATTAAAAAAATTCCGATAATTGGGAGTTAGTAGCATCTAATAAAGTACCTCCTATGATATGATGTTGCCATTCTTAACAGTGGAGTCAATGTCATCCACAGAGCATCTCAATGCCTTCAACTATATCACAAAGATAAACACACTAAAACGTGTTTGACAACAAATCCCGCAATAACAATTAAGCTAACTTTAAGTATCTTTGACTAAGTGGGGGTGGCCTCTTGAGTCTGCCTTTGGCCTGGCAGCACCACCCCCTGATTCTGGGGTCTACTGTGAGATTTTAGTATCATCCTTGTTCAGTTCTCACCATACAACAATGCAGTCTTTGTACGTTATATATATTTTTTATTATCCCATTCATACTTAATAACTTGGAGTTGGCTTTCTTAGTATTTAATAATTGTTGACATAGTGGATATCGAAGTTGGATAATGAATACTGTATGTTTCAACAGGAAAACAAATAAGCATACTGCATATATATTACACTGAGGCAAGTATGTCACGACCGTTAAACCATAAGAATAGTGTGCAAAGTCACATAGTCAAGGAAGAACCACCCATACCCTTTCCTTTGGAAACTCAAATCACAACTCAAATGAACCCGTGTATCTCTTTCACAAATGCCTTCAAATAGTTGATAAAAAAAATATATAAAAAAAAAAAGCAGGCAGTGAGAGAAAGTGATAAAAACCTGATTTATCCACCCAATACCGGTTTGCAACAAATGGATAAAATGGGAGAAATAGCGGATCTGTCCAATTGGGAGTAAAATAACTAATGCCCAGAGCTCAGGAGATACATCTCATCTCTGAACATATTACTCCAGTCAATTATATAGAACATGATGTTTTTAGCTAATAATTCCAGCAAGGAATACAAAGAAAATACAAAAGCTTGCTCTTTGTTTAGATTCTTATTTCCTTACAAGCAAAACTCCAGCTAACAGATACATTGAAGTATAACAAAAAAGGAGCATCAAACTGAAATACCCAAGGACTTCTTAAACTTCTCAACCTCCAAATATACTGTGGAATAAGGAAGGAACTCTGAGAAATGGTCTTTGCTCAGATCATTTATAGCAATTGCCAGTTTGGGGATTTCTAAGATTTCTTCATGAGTCAACGTCCTCACAAACCTGGCTGGATTTCCTGCCCAAAGTTCACCTGATGGAATTCGCCTTCCTGGCGGAACTACTGACCCTGCTTCAAGGATTGACTGTGTCTCCACCAACGAACCTTCCATAAGGATGGAGTGCTGCCCAATAATGCACTCTGGCTCAATAGTGCAGGACCTCAACAAGCTGTATGCCCCAATTGTCACATACCTTTCTATTGAGGTGTCAGCCGGAAGGCCTGTTTTGCGAAAGAAAGCATAAATAATGCATAAGCAATACATTCATAAACCATAATTACGAATTTTTCAAGGATCTCAAATTGAATATGGAAGCTGCAATGTAATTCAATAACACAATCACTAAAGATTGATCCCCCAGCATTGTGAAGTAATCAGATGAAACAAGTATCTGCATCGAACTCCTCTTCCACCTCATCCCCACTCTCTAAAAAATATGTAAGTAATCCTTTTGACCCAATGAATAAGATAGATATTACGATCTTCAATGATATTCGAAAATTATTAACTTCAGAAGAAATGAAAAATAATCTCATTCTCAACATTTAAGAAAACTCATTTATACATGTAGAGCATCTGTATCCCCTGATACAGATGTCAACTAGTAAGTTAAGGACTTTAGGCAAATCAATGAAACAATATTTCATTCAAAATACTATTTGGTACAACACTGTTGCACGAAAGTTTTACATGAAACAAGTGGCACCATTTCACCCTAATGGGACGTTGGATAAAGGAGAAGTTTTTTTATTTTTAGGAATCATGATTCCAAGGAATTACAAATCCTTATTCATAAAGGTTTTTGAGAATATTCATATAAGATTTCCGGGAATTAAAGATTTTTATGTTTTATTACAATACCATATTTCTGGGAATATAAATATTTTTTACAAAAATATCCTTTATTAAAATAAACTTATTAGATATATTTATTTACTCAAATCTTATAAAAAAATGACATTAACCTATTTTTAAAAAGTTAAAAACTTATAGTTAAAATTATTTAAAAACAAAATTCAACAAAAAAAATAAACAAAATAAAAATGGTACATAATAATTAAGAAGGATAAAAATATATATTTCATTTCATTCAAATAAATAAATTAATAAATTAAATTTTTTCAACAAATATTATTAAACTATAGAAACAAAACAAACTTTAATAATATTATTAAAATTGACATGGTCAAGAAATAATGAAATATAAGAGAGAGAAAGAGAAATAAAGATACAGAAGAAAGAGAGGGAGAGAGGGAGAGAGAGAGGGAGAGAGAGGGAGAGGAGAAGTGAGAGTGAGAGAGAGAGGGAGAAAGAGAAATAAAGGGGAGAGAGAGAGGGAGAGAAATAGAGAGAGAGGGAGAGGGAGAGAGGAAGAGTGGGAGTGAAAGTGAGAATGAGAGAGATAGAGAGAGAAAGAGAAATAGGAGAAAGATCTTCTATTTTAAAAAAGGATATTGTAGTCTTTTTATATGTATTAAACTTTCCTCCTAACTCGAGAAAGTTGAATTCTCACCCCCTCGTAAGAATGTCTTTGTAGGAAAGTGGGATAAAAATGATTTCCAGGAAACTACATTCCTGGAAATATCTTATTTTTTAAAAATAGTTACCGAACATAAGAAACTAAGATTCTCATTTTAAGGTTTCCAGGAATGGAAAAACATTCCGGGTACCAAATGCAAGTGAATAACAATAAGTAATCTCAATCACTGATGAAAAAACAATTGCTGACTTACATAAACAACTGAATTAATGCATTAATGCATGTAATATCGACTGTTAATTTTCACATAAACAACTGAATTACATATTTTATCTTCTAAAGTAAATTTCTCACTTTAGACAAGTTGGATTCCAGTTTCTTTATTTTTTGTATTCTTTAAATTTAAGTCTCATTTAGATAAACTTTTCTAGAAGCACTTATAAGAGGAAAAAATAACAAATGCATATGAATTGAGGTTTTCTAATAAGCTAAAATCAAGAGAAAAAATAACAAATGCATATGAATTGAGATTTTCTAACAAGCTAAAATCAAGAGATGTTTAGAACTTTAGATAAATTTCCCCATAAACACTACTAAAAAAAAAAAATCTCCATAAACTAAAATTAGATCATGTATAAACTAATTTGTAAAAACTCTTGTATTAACTTCTCTAACAACTTAGTTTTAACTTATGCATAAGCTAATTTTATCTTATGGATAAGTTTATTTCATTTTTTATTTTTTATTTTCTTCTCCTATAAGTGTTTATGAAAAAGTTAATCCAAAGTCCAACTGGACCTTTATGTAATTAACTTCTATACAAATTCCCATTTAACTTCTACAAAATCTAGAGTACCATTGTTAATTTTAACGAACTCATGGGAGAAGCTCAATTAATTTTATTTCTTATTTCCTTCCGGAGAAATTTATCTAAACAGAGTCTTACCGGTAATCCAATGAAATACAGACACCTCTATATTCATATAGAACTTGTACTAACAAGCAATGCACTATTCTTTACGCGGGGGAGGGGGCAAAAAAGGTTGTGTGGGCGTAGAGAAAACCAGAAATACAAAAGCGTACTTCTCTTCTGGGCAACAATTTGGTGTCAGAAACTACAAGTTAATAAAATTAAACCCCCAGCTCCAATGTATTCGAAAGCAGATTGATTACCAAATGAACCAACGTCGACAACTACCAAACTATGAAGCAAACCAGGTTTTCTCCACTTAATTTTGCTAGAGAAGAAAGATTATACAAGTGCAATAGTATTATCAAATGCACAAATTAAATCGCACCGATTTTCGCGAAACACGAATTCTTGGAATTTCGAACCGAATCTATAATTAACGTTTCCAATTCGAAGGTCCTGGAATGGGAAGCTAACCTGTGGGAGAAGACCATGCGGCGTGGAGAACAGAGCGTTCCTGAACGTTGGAGCAGAATCCAACGCTGATCTTGTTGAGATCGCCGCGGAGGACGCAGCCGGGCCAGACGGAGGCTCCGTCCCAGACGGTGACTTGGCCGGCGAGGACCACGTTGGGTGCCACGTAAGCATCCACCGCCACCTTCGGGAGCCACTGTCCCAACGGGATTATCTTCCTCTGCCCTCGGTAGTCCCACTTCACGCGATCCGCCGACGGGGTTATCGATTTCACCGTCTCCGTGGCGAAATGGCGTTCCGCTGCCGCCACCAGAGGCTGCGGTAGCACGTGGTGCCTTGTTAGCGCGAATACGTTTCCGATGGCTCGCTTGGAGAAGCGTGCGAGATTCGCCATGAGAGAGAGATAGTCAGAGAGAGAGAGTGAAACCGAGAAATGAGAGTGGGAAAGAG